CCTATAAGCTGTCAGACACACATTTATTTACTCTGTTCCCCATAAAGTACAGGTCTACATTCACTTTCCATGCATGGAATGCCACAGTGTGCCAGGGGATTTTCTATATATTTGAAAAGGAGTTAAGGAGTAAGAGAGGTTAGATGGGAAAACAGAATTTGGGGTAGAGAAGGGTGCAAGGCCACATGGTTAGTGATGGACTCGAAATGCAAACCAAGTTCCCATGTCAGCAAGCCTTTGTGAAAAACGTGAAGAATAGCTTCAGCACCCAGAAAATACTAGTATTTGGTGGAGAATAAAGGTGCTGGGACATCTTGGGCCACCTGTCCCTTTGTTACTTACACCATCTGGGGACCAGCCTTTTAGGCTTACAAGTCATCTCTGGCACCCACAGCCAAAGACAATGAACATAGGTACTTTCATGCAAAATTTTTATTTGAAACGTGTGTCATTGAGCAGGTAAGTCATCCTGAAATAGCAAGTCTTTACATTATGCAGAGAAATACAAGAGCTCCTTGAAGACTTCAGCTACCCCTGTGGCTTCCACAGGGGAAAAGGACTACTAGTGGGGGAAGTGCTCCTCCTCACCCCAAATGAAGACATTGGGACAAATAGCCAGACTTGCCTTTGGGTTCAAGTTTTAGTCAGAGGCCACAGCACAAGGACCTTCTTGTCCCCTGTACTAAACACAACTGTGACAGAGGCTCTCAAAAGTCAACGCCAGGAATGTGCGCACGCAGGCACTCTGCCCACCTCATTGCACTGCCCATCTCGCAGCACTGCTGGTGAACTTAAGGACTGTTTCCACGGGCAATTTGCTAGACCACAGAGATCTTTCCAAAGGACTTTAATCTGAGTTGCAGTCTTAACCACTCCTTAACATGCATGCTGGGGACCATTCTTTCTTTCATGTTATTTTATCATCTTCCATAGTTGAGTCCACAATGGATCAACCCAGAGTTCAGGAAAAGGACCTCCCACCATGCAGATTCTTAAAGGTCACTTGGAATGTGTCTCTTAAATCCTGTCCTGAGTAGCAGCTCTCCTCCCAAAAACAGATGTACAGAATCTGCAATGAAAAGCATAACAGAAAATGCATCTCCCCGCTAAGCCTACACTAACAGCTTCAGTTCAAGAAAGACACTCCCACCCCTCACTCCATCCCTTACACTTCATGCTCCCTGCAGATGATCTAGCAGAACAATGGCTCAAACACGAAAGTAACTGCCTACAAGAACTTAGAAAACTGGAAGTGTTTCTCTAAGCTCAGATATTTAGAGAGAATTCTGCAGCACTGGCCACTTTCCAAGAAATGCTAACCTGATACTTAACTGTGTATTATTTAACCATTTTAAACAAAACAAAATAGCCAAAACACATAAACATAATCCTTGGAGACCAGATAAAATGTGGGTTAATCTTATCTTCCATCAGTCTCTTCTGCTCAGAGCGGGGAAGTAGTTGTGTCAGTGCTGGATGGGGCTTATCATTTCCCCTCAGAAGCTCTTAAACCAAACTTGTATTAAAGTAAGTCCTTTTATTGTCGCAAAAAAAATGGTCAGGATCTACTTTTAGAATCATTGGAGTTAATGCACTTGAACTTGTCACCAACAGTCAGATGAGTAGCAAAAGTTCTAATTAGATTTTCCACACGAATCAAAACCTCAACCTACACTTTTAGTATGGACACCAGAATCTCAGATTAGACACATTTTTATGTGACTTTAAAAAAAGAAACCCAAATAGTTAGAAACAACATGGCAAAGGAGTCTGAAGCTGCAGTTAGGGGCTTCAATGCTAAGAAGTTTTCTGTGGTTGCAGAATCAAAAGATTGAAAATGATAATAAAGATATTTGGTTTTCAATCATTCAGAAATTTCCTTCAAAGAGGTAATTAAAGCTATTTTCCCTTACTTTTACAATATTTTCCCTTACTTTTACAATTAAGAAATACAAATACATTTCATACATAATTCCTCATATAAATTTTAGTTCAAAGAGTCAAAGTTAAAACTTTTAATTTTATAAGCCCCAAATTATTAAACATCAAAAGTTAGTCAAACATATGAGAAAAACAATGACAAACCCAAAATAGAAAAAAAATCAGCCACAAATAATAACAAAGAGGTATGTATGTATAAGCAATAGAACTAATAAAAAAAATAGCTATTGCTAAATTCAAAATCTCTGGGAAAGCTATTTCTGATTAGTCTGTATTATTTACCTTAGAATATGAAAGTTTAAAAGTCAAATTTTCAAAGTTACTATATTCAAGCTGGAATCCAGAAATGAAAGTTAGAAGTATAAATATTGATAATTTCAACTAATTTCAGAATGGTTTCAGAAAACTATAATTTAGAATAAAACAAAGTAAAAGTACCACACATAAGGTACATTAATTTTTTTCTCTTTAGGATTCTTCTCTTTCTCGTGAGGAATAAACTAAAATTCAATTATTTTCATTAAAAGAAGTCTTTATTTTAATTTAAAATTTAGAAGGAAGTCAGAACACAGTTCATTTCACTTGCATTTAAAGAGGGAAACATGTGACCATCTGGTAATTTAATTCTACCAGATTACTTAAGTGATTCAGTGGCCATGACAGAGTAACAGGCCTCTTACTCACTAAATGTTTCCTGGGAAAAACAACCTAAGCTATGTCTAACAGACACTTGGCCCTTCTCTTTGTGTTGTGAAAAAAAGAGCCTGCTACAACTTTTCACAAGAGCCAAAAATCAGGAAAGAGTAATAGTTAGGAACTAAGACTACAGATAAGTGTATTCAAAACGATTTTTCAGAATTATTTAGATCCTGTATTGTTTATTACAGTTCAAATACCTGAAGTTCTTATGAAATAAAATCATATGTTACAGATAAAAACAGGCAAGGAAAGCCCAGTCAGAATTGTTTTAGGGCCAAATTGCAGACTACCCAACAATTCACATTTTAAAAATCTGAAATGTCTAAAAATAGATCAGGTGGTTTCTCAAAAAAGAAAGAAAGAAAAGAAGAGGAAAGGAGAGGAGAAAGAAGAGAGGTGAGGAGAGGAGAGGAGAGGAGAGGAGAGGAGAGGAGAGGAGAGGAGAGGAGAGGAGAGGAGAGGAGAGGAGAGGAGAGGAGAGGAGAGGAGAGGAGAGGAGAGGAGAGGAGAGGAGAGGAGAGGAGAGGAGAGGAGAGGAGAGGAGAGGAGAGGAGAGGAGAGGAGGAGAGGAGGGGAGAGGAAGAAAGAAAAAGGGAGAGAGAGAAAGAAGGAAAGAAGAAAAGTCCCATGCCTCTGTATGGTGTGGCTTAACAGTTGAGCATCAACCCAAGAACCAAGAGATTGCTGGGTCACCAGTTCCATTCTAGTCAGGCACATGCCCGGGGTTGTGGCCTCGATCCCCAGTAGGAGGGTGCAGGAGGCAGCTGATTGATGATGTTTCTCTCTCATTGATGTTACTCTCTATCTCTCTCCCTTCTTCTCTCTCTAATGTATTATATTAGATAAAAGGGAGAAAATGTTAACAAGAATACCTTACTCAGAAAGAAGGGACAAATGCATAAAAAATGCATTAACTTTGTGCAGGATAATGCAATAGTAAACACAGTAGAATACATAGGCCTCATAATACTTTTGTAATGGCATATATATGTCTCTATCACATCTTTAAAATATGCAGAGATCAAGTAAGGATCATTCTAGATAAAAATACATATTTTTAAAAGGTGGGGGGAGGAAAGCATGGTCTCAGGGCAGACCCCCATAGATATACATAAATGAAAACTACACTTTTTGGTAATTCTAGTGGATATGGCAGCAAATATTGTGGATGTTGGCTGGTTTTGAGAGGATTATTTTCACATATAACCTTATAGTTATATTTGTTTAAAAAATTGTGAAAAGTTCAGTTAATCCTGTAAAACATCTATATTGAGATCTCTTTCTAAGATAAAATAAAAATAGCCGAGTTGTGAGTGGGTGAAGGATATGTGCTTTAGAGCAGATGTGAGCCCTCTCTGGGCCCCTCTCACACAAAGGGATATAGATTTTTAAATAAAATAAAACTTCCTTAAAAATCTGCCACCTAACAACTGTTTACATCATAGAAAAATAGCATTTTTGTAAAAAGAAATATAGTTACTTTGTTAAAATGGTCTATTTTAAACCAGCAATTATTTTTCATATAAAGAATTTCTAAACGTCCATACAGAAAATAAAAATAGATAATACCGAGTGCAAAGCAGACATGGCATGTTTGCAAACGAGCAAAGCACTTCATTACAAGATAAAGAATATTCTTAGTACATTAGAGTAAGTTTTAATCTTTTAGGAACTTAAAAAGATATTGCTTTAAGTCTCTGATGGCAAGTTACTTATAAGTGAAGTTACTTCCAGCAGCAGAAGGCCAAATTGATTAGAAATGGATCAGATATAGTCATTCACATTTCCCCTAAACTCAAAGTGCAGAAACGCTGTCCCAAATTCCTTTACATGAGCATAGGCCATAGGCCCTGGAGATGTGAAAGGGAATTATGGCATTCACAGTCATTTCAAAAATCATTCACTCTATTGTCCATGTTCAAATTGTCACAGAAGCAGATTAACACCAAACATATTACAATTTGGCTAAATCCATCATGTAGGAGAGTCCATGTGACTCTTCTAAATACAGGTATTAACTCTTCATTTATCAAAACAGAAAGTTTCAATGGAATACTCCATTACTTCCACAAAGCGATTCCGAAGGCATGACGAGTCTCCTGGTGGCCATGGTAGTGACACCACAGAGCACTAACAGCCAGCAGTTTTCAGCTGATACCGGGCAAGCTGGCTGGTAGACAAAATCACAGAACACTCAATTTACAACTATAGTGGATGCACTTCACTGGCATCTCATCACACCCGCTCCACTCTGCTCGGGTCATACGAATCTGTAAAAAAAGGTAGAAAGGAAAAATTAGTGTAATATTCAACTAGTCTGTTTCCTGTTTAATCCTCAGACCATAGTTAAATATGTTTAGGGAGCAAAATCCATTTCAACAATCTTGTTTTCACTGAGTGAAAAACTGTCATCAGAAAGCTGTGTTAAAGGGACATGTATGATGACCGATGGAAAAATGTGAGTTGCTTAATATTTTGATGATCTCTTCCTGCTGTTCATAATGAAATACAATTAACCTTAAATGTGATGCCTGTTAACCAGCAGTGGTGTGCTTGTCTGATACGAAGGATTGTTTACATGTTTTGGTAAGTTACAATTCTAATCAAAGTTTGCTTTGCTGTGTGCATCTCTATGACTGAATGCTGTCACCGGAAAGCTTGAGGACTCTGAAATCCGGACTGTTTGGCCTCCTGCCTCTGACTGCCACCAGCCAGCCCAGGGCTGGACACAGGCCGGTTAGCATAAATCTTCTGGGCCTTTCCACACCTAGGTATGAGCCGCCCACGGATCCATTCTGTGGCCCACACTGGAAAATCCCAAACGGGTCAGATGTCCTAGATTTCCCAGACGGGACACCCCACAAAAAAACAGCAAACAGCCCTGACCAGTTTGGCTCAATGGATAGTGTCAACCTACAGACTGAAGGGTCCTGGGTTTGATTCCCGTCAAGGGCATGTACCTTGGTTGCGGGCACATCCCCAGTAGTGTGTGGAAGAGGCAGCTGATCGATGTTTCTCTCTCATCGATGTTTCTAACTCTCTATCCTTTCCCTTCCTCCCTGTAAAAAAAATCAATATAATGTATTTTAAAAAACAAAACAAAAACAAAAAACCAGCAAACAGCAGCCCTAACCTGCCCTCAGCACTGCAGCTGGTGTTGCTGACTTCAAACGTGATTCAGCACTAAGTGCCCATCAGACTAAAGCCAGGGACCACACATCTTCCTCCTATGGCCAGAAACTCCTGCCACAGCAGCTCACAGGTTTTCTAACTTTTTAGGAGAGAATACATAAGAACTCTGGAAGGATGGTACAATTTGATAGTTATAAAAAGTATTACAAACAATCACTTCTCAAGTCATCTAGGCAACTGAATTATGAGACCACACAGATTCCAGTATCTCCAGTAGCACATCCTCCTTGCACCTGCTCAACTTAACTACAATATATTTACTGCGAAAAGCTACAACTGTGACAACCGAGGCAGCATTTAGAGCACTCTGACTCAGACACTATAAACCAATAGGGCAGTCTGTGCATTTGGGAAGGAGTTTTCTCTTCTTCAAAAGTGATTTACTGTACTAAGTGCCCATCAGACTAAAGCCAGTGGAGTCCCAAGAGCCAGTGCCTTTTGATTTCTTACCCAGAACACCACCCAGTGGGATGAGAGGATGTTAACAGCTGAGCACCACTTTTGCTCTGCACCAGCCTCACCGTGAACTGACTCTGACAGGGTGCACTGCGGGCTGGGGCGGGGTGGGGACAAGGCTGAGCATCTGGGAGGCCTCACATCACACAGGCATGGGTCCTGACCAGCCCCTCAGGGCCAGGTACTTGGGGCACCTCCACAGAACATGCCTGCCCTCCAGGGCCCCACTGTAGAAGTTAGGAGCCAAAAGACAGAGTGGGAAGAGAATTCTGAAGAACATGGGCTCCTTTCTCAGGTCATGTAGCATCTGGGTCCATTAAAAATGAGCCACAGCCAAGAGCGGTTTGGCTCAATGGATAGAGCGTCGGCTTGGGGACTGAAAGGTCCCGGGTTCGATTATGGTCAGGGGCATGTGCCTTGGTTGCGGGCATATCCCCAGTAGGGGGTGTGCAAGAGGCAGCTGATCAATGACTCTCTCTCATCAATGTTTCTAACTCTCTATCTCTCTCCCTTCCTCTCTGTACAAAATCAATAAAAATATATTTAAAAGAAAATGAGCCACATATATTATTTTACATTTTTTAGTAGGCACGTTAAACCAAATAAAAAGAAATGGGAAATTAATTTTAATGCTATATTTTATTTCACCAAATAGAGCCAAAATACCATTTAAACAGGTAATTGATATAAAAGCTGAGAAATTTTTAGATTGTTTTTGTACTAAACTTTGGGCTCTGGTGTGTATTTTGCACGTATGGCCTATCTCAGTTGGGATGAGCCACATTCAAGTGCTCAGAACCACATGTGATAGAGTTACCACACCACCAGCCAGGCCTAGAGAACAGAGAAGTTCTCTGAGGAGCTGGAATCCTGGCTCCTGTGGGTAATAGATGAAGAGAAGTCACTAAACCTGCCCCAATGGATATTTCACATATAACCACCCCCTTAAAGATGTGCTACGGTCTAGCCTTCTAATATCATTATGTGGTATCGAACCTTCCCAGATTTTCCTCACTGCAGCCCAGAGGCAGTCTCCCCTCCATACGCGCATTAAGAGAATATATGGAAGTTAATGGCACACTATCAGTGCCTGGGATTACATTCTGAATTGGAACATAATCCATCCAGTGGAGATAGCATTCTGTTCCCTGATTTAGTTTTGAGCTGTTGATTTCTTAACCAGAGCCCAAAAAGCCCACTGAAAAGATGTTAGCTGAAATGCCCATCTTTAAACTGAGAGAAAGACACTTTATGATGATAGGTACTACAATGCCACATAGATAAATAAAATTCTGGAAGGCAGTGTGGAGCACTTATACATAAACATGGATATCTTATTTTGAAATTCCATAACAAAATTTAAATTTGAGTGGGCTGTGCATTCAAGAACAGTGAAGTGGTTCTGATACATTGGGGTGATGGAGGCAAGGGTGGAGTGGGGACAGAAATGAGGAGCCTTGTATTCAAAATAAAACTTAGCAAGCCCTGCCCAATGTGGTTCAATTGGTTGGAGCATCAAGCCATGCACTGAAAGGTTTTAGGCTCAATTCCCAGTCAGGGCACATACCTAGGTTTCAGGTTCAGTCCCCTTCTGGGTATATACCAGAGGCAGCCAATTGATGTTTCTCTCTCACAATGATCCTTCTCTCTTGGTCTCTCTCTCCCTTTCCCTTTCTCTAGAATCAATTAGTGAGCTTCCACTGAAGATTAAAATGTATGAATAATAAAATCAAATTTAGCAAAAGAAAAACAAAGTCCAAGTTTACCAGCAACAAAGCTTTATTCTAATTTGTAAAGCAACGCTGAAGAGAAAATTTAACATTTGTGAAAATTTTTATTAACTCAGTCATATGATCTCTCCAAAGAACTAATTTGAATACTGAGGCCTGATGGCCATCACATGAAAGGCCAATGGAGTTTCACCTGGGCCACTGCATATGTAAGAAATCTTCCCTAGAAGTGTCCTGATATGCAATTACTTAAGAATGCCTGGGGTAGCTGTCTGTCACCATAAGTAGCTCTCTGCCTTCAAATTTTTGGTCATTTTATTATACATTAAGAAATGCAGAAACCAAGATGGTGGCATAGGGTAGACACCCGAATGCAGCCTACCACAACAAATTCGAATTTAGAACTGAAAAACAGGGGAGGCATTGCCCTGAAGCACCAGACGGCTGGCTGAGAGGAGGCTCTGCCATCTGGGAAGGAGAGAGAAGGCATGCTGAACCTCAGGAAATGTGAAGGTACGGAGAACTGTGTGCGCGAAAAGGCGCTGGCTTAATCCCAGTGCGGAGAGGAAGGGCCAGACCGAGATTGCTGCTGGCTTACCCCCGGCACACAGAGAGGGCGGGCCGGGCTGAGTTCACTACTGGCTTACTCCTGGCGCGGAGAGGGCGAACACCTAACTCAGCTGGCTTTCTTGTCCGAGAGGAAAACAGAATCACCCTATTGCTCTGATAAACTGCCCCAGACAGGGAGAGGCCAGACTGTCAGGCAGTGGGCAGAGATCTCTTGGAGGTGTGTGAAGCCAGAGGCCATTACTGCGGGACTTGGGGAGGAGCCAAAGGGAAAACAAAGTTTGTCTGCACCAACCTGAGACTCCTCCCTACCTGTGGCTGAGCACAGAAGCTCTCCCAGAGGCTGGCTTTCTCTAAGGAGGGACTTGCAGGAATCCAAAGCTTGTCTGCGCCTTTACCAAAGAGGTGCTCGCGCCTGCAACCAATCTTCCAAAACTCTCCAAGAACAGGACTTTTCTAAGGCAAGACTGACAGGGAACCAAAGATTGTCTGCGCCACTCCGAAACCCCAGCCTATTCAAGCAGAGTACGGAAACCCTCCTAGCTGAGACACTGCTGATCGTCACAGCCAATTGGCTTGGAGATCAACGCTTCCCAGTGATACCAACAATAAGCAAGGCTTAACAACAAGACTGCACTCACAGCCCACAAAGGGCTACACCAAGACTGTCCACCACAGGTAACTGGGAAGGCTGTGCTACTGGGCTCTACCAGAACACCTAGCACACAAAGCTATTCCATCAAATCAGGGAAACAACTAAAATGCAGACAAGAAGGACACAAAGGAAGGAGATGGAGGAAAAGAAAAGATTGGACATTGAGTTCAAAACTACAGTTATAAGGTTATTCAACAATATCCTAAAAAAGGCCGATAAAATAAATAATGAGACCTATGAGGATATGAAAAGGGAGCAACTAGAAATAATAAGGGATCAACAAGAAATGAAGAAAACATTGTCTGAAATAAAAAATATTATACAAAGTCCTAAAAACAGACTGGAAGATCGCAAGAATCAAGACAAAGATTTAGAACACAAAGAGCCAGAGGACACTCCTCTGCAGAAGGGAGAAGATAAGAGAATCCAGAAAGTTGAAGATAGTGTAAGAAACCTCTGGGACAATTTCAAGCGAACCAACATCAGAATTATGGGGATTCCAGAAGAGAGAGAGCAAGATACCGAAAGAGTACTAGAAGAAATAGTGACAGAAAACTTCCCCCACCTGGGGAAAGAAATAGACTTACAAGTCCAGGAAGCCCGCAGAACCCCAAACAAAAGGAATCCAAGGAGGACCACACCAAGACATATCATAATTAAAATTCCAAGAGCAAAAGACAAAGAGAGAATATTAGAAGCAGCAAGAGAAAAGCAGGTAGTGACCTATAAAGGAGCACCCATAAGATTGTCAGCTGATTTCTCAACAGAAACCATGCAGGCCAGACGGGAATGGCAAGAAATATTCAAGGTGATGAATAACAAGAACCTACAGCCAAAAATAATCTACCCAGCAAAGCT